CCCAAAATGGAATAAGCGGGTAAAGATAATGGATGGATGGATGGACAACCATTAAACAGAGAGAAAGAAATAAAAACGTCTGCGTTTCTGTCCAGATGCTGCTCACTAAACATCAGGAGGCTGAGTCAGGTCCTCTGCTCGGGCTCTTCTGAGAAGATGCTGCAAGACTGAGTTTACTGCAGCTCCTCAGACTGAAGAAGTCTTCTGGATAAAAGCTGAAACCTTTCAACAAGAACAATTATCCACAGGATCTGACTTAACCCGGTTACATCAACTCTGAGTTGAATTTATTGATTTATGCATTTGTAGATTTTTTTTTTCATATTTTCAAAGGGTTTGGAACAAAAATTGTTTGCTGCTTCATTTAAGAAGTTAATTTTCCCACTCAAAATGTGTTTTATTTTTCTTATATTTTATTTATTTATTTATGTATTTTGTCAGGTGTTACAGTATGCACATTTGAGGGTGGGTGAGAATTAATGTCCTGCAGTATTTAAAAACTAACTAGCTAACTAACTAACTAACTAACTAAATTATCTGACACATCAGTAAAACTTGATATTTTAAGGTGAAACACTCACAATCAGCACATCTACTGGATGTAACTGAGTAAACATTATTATTAATGTTGTTGTTGCTTTTATTCTTGTTCTTAGTGAAATGTTTAAAAAAACATGTACATACTATATGAAGGAATGAATTAAATAAATAAATAAATAAATAAACCTTAGAAAATGTTATAAAAGCAGCAATCTCCTTGACAAAAAAAACTATATTATTGTTTTCCCTGTTTGGTTTTCTTTGCCTTTTTAATGTAATTCATAAATTCATTAATTCATGTCCACTTTTAACAGTATTGCATTTATTTATTTATTGTGTAATTTATTTTAAACAACTAAAAATAATAAAGTAATTAAATGTGTTTGTCAGAAGAAGAGAAGGAGTTTCAGCGTGTTTAGTTTTAGGCCCAAACTCTTCCTCTCTGTCATCTGTCTCCTCACCCCCCC